ATCAACGAAAAAGTGATGAAAGCAGCCAGAGCCAATCCTACATTACCCGAAAAATGTTCTGTTTTTTTTCCTGTACACGGATTTGTTGGCAGCTACTATCCGCACCAGGAAGCAATTCCTCACCTTGATCAAGGCTCACCATGACCATGATATACCTTACCAGTGGAGTTGTCCTACCAAATTGCTGATAAAGAAACAGCAAAAAAACTTCACTCCCTGGAAAAAGGTCTGAAGCTGCTGAAGGTGTGGAAAATCTTGGCACCTGATGCTCCACTTCCTTACAAGCCTCCTCCACCTAAACTAGCTATGGATTGGTTCCGATAGTGACTCATAGCTTACCCAGATCACTCCCATTTGAAGCTGCAGTTTTGCACTTCCTCTGGATTTCTTCTCAGGCCTACCGATTACGATACAGATCTTATTGCTCTTCCTTCTGCTTATCTGTTGGTACCATGTTGCACATGTTTTCTGGACTTTTTTTCAGATTTTTTTATTATTGTACATATGTATCTTTTATTATTTTTTAAACCTCCATATTTTCAGTTTAATATGGCATCTCGCTGCTTAATTCACCTACACACAAAACTGACTTGCAGACATTGCTCTGCCTTATCTATTTGACTGTGTTCCTTTACATCCTGATACTATGTCCTGGCAACAATGCACTGTTTATCCCATACACTATGATCGATGCTACACACAGCTGGCTGTTATTTCCTCATGGTGCCTAAATTTATTTTTTTCAACGTGAGAGGCCTTAACAGTCCCTATAAGTGGAGAGCACTGAACAATTACATCAGTTCTCTACATGGAGATGTCCTTTTCCTGCAAGAGACCCATTTTGTTCAAAGCAAAGCACCCAAGCTTAACCTGAAGACCTTTTTCCATATTTTCAAAGCTAACTCCAACAACAAGAAGGATAGTGTCCTCATAGCTATAGCTGCCTCTCTCAATTTTCAGCTCATCTCCTTAATAAAGATGACAATGGCTGTTTCATAATTCTTGATTGTAATATCAATGATGTACCGTATACCCTGGTTAATGTTTACACCTCAAATATCAGGCAGGTTGCATTTCTATAAAAAAAAAATGTTTAAAAATTGCCTCCTGTTGCCAAGGTTTCCTGATACTGGGTGGAGATTTTAACCAAACTCTAGACTCATCTGCAAATTCCAAACATAGACCCTGTACCCTGAATGATCTTTTGTATAAACATAACCTGTTTGATGTGTAGTGGTGCAAGCATAGTACCGAACGAGATTCCACTTTTTCTCTATGGCTGACCATATATACTCTTGTATAGATCTATTCCTGACTGACAGATGGGCCCTTCTGCATGTCACCTCATCCACGATATAAACCATATCCTGGTCAACCATGCACCTATCACCTTTTCTGACTCATCTAAACTTAAACTTGTCTCAGTATGGTGACTGGAAACATACCTCTTGTCGCAACCAGAAACTCAGCAATCAGTTGTCGATGCGCACAACTTATTCTTCTCCACCAATGACTCTGAGTCTGTTGATCACTTTACATTATAGAACACCCATAAAGAGTTCATGAGAAGCGTGTTTATCCAACTCAGCTCTACTAAATAACAGCTAGTGCGATGTTTGGACCAAATTATGAAATATATCTGATCGTTGGAAGAGGTGAACAAGCGGAACCCCACCCACCAAACTTCAGCAGACCTCATGAAACTAAGACTGTCACTCAGAAATGTATTGCTTTATCAGTATAAAAAGCATGTAAAGTTTCTTAAAGCTGCTTTTAATGCAATAAATAATAAGACTGGGGCCTTCTTAGCTAAACATTTTAAAAGGTAGACATCTCTCGCAGAAAATCCCTTTCTTGATTGATAAAAGAGATGGTGCTAAAGTTTCATCCCCTGACCGTATAGCTGAAATTTGTAAAGAATACTAGGCTTCCCTATATGACTTAAAGCAAATGCCCAAACTCATTTCTTCATCTGCTCTCCCTACCCAAACTGAGTTAAACCCAGCTTTTCACATTATCTCGACCCTTTACAGAGATATAAATGTAAAAAGTCATTTTCAGCCTACCCATGTCCAAACCATTGATGGCTTCCCCAAAAAATACTACCAAAAACACAATGATACCCAACTCCTCATCTAGTAGCCATCTATAACTCAGAATTGACTAATGGGCACTTGCCAAAAGAAATGCTACAGGCTGTAATTACTAAAATACCCAAACCTGATAAGGACACCTCCCTCCCTAAAAAATATAGGCCCATTTTACCATTAAATTTGGGCATAAGGATCTACGCAAAAGCGTTGGTCCTTAGATTACTGAATGTCCTACTCTCCCTTATTCACCCAGACCAGGTGGGGTTTATCAAAGGTTGTAAGGCCCCAGATGCCACAAGAAAAATCCTGAACATACTCAAACATGCTGAATGAAATAAAATCCCATCACATCACCGTAGATGCTGAAAAAGCAATTGATCATGTACAGTGGGTGTTCCTTGGAGAAGTCCTGCAAAAGTTTAGATTTCCTTGCCCAATCCTCACAGCTATAATGGCACTCTACACTCAGCCAACTGCAAAAATGTTTACATCTGGGGCTCTCTGCTCTAAACTAGCATTTATTAACAGAACAAGACAAGAATGCCCACTGCTATTTGCACTAATTATGGAACCCCTAGCGCACACAAGCTACATATCTGGATTGTAGATAGGCCCTACTCAGAACAAGATTGGACTTTTTGCAGATGACGTGATTTTGATAGTCCGCTTCAATCACTTCAGAAAATTCAAAGTCTTATTCACACCTTTTGCTCAGTTTCATATTACAAGATTAATGAAAGTAAATCCCAAATTTTGGGCCTTAACCAGTTGCCTGCCACCCCATAGCAGGTGTACTGCTATAGGGCGGCTTCACTGTGTAAAACCACGTAAATATACTGTATGAAATTTTGCATTTTTGGGTAGGGGGCGCATGCACGTGGGCCAGCCCTACCCGCGTTGCTATTGGCTCCTGAGAATGTCAATCACCGGGCTCCGAGTCCCAGCCAGTGATTCCCGGCCCTGACTTGGTGATTGTTAGTGAAGCTGAGAGGGGAGAGACCTGTGTGTAAACAACACAGATCTCTCTCCTGTCAGCAAGGACATGCTGCTTTCTATCTCTTTGCACAGCAGAGAGATAGAAAGCAGCAGGTCTACTTAGTAAAACGCACATAGTACACAATAATACACTCCATAACACACAGTTAACCCTTTGATCGCCCTAGATGTTAACCCCTTCCTGCCCAGTATCATTAGTACAGTGTCAGTGCTTTTAATTAGCACTGATCACTGTATTATTGTCACTGGAGATGTCAGTGGCAGTTAGACAGTTCCCATCCAGTGTCAGAATACCCACAGCAGTCCCACTATAAGTCACTGATCGCTGCCATTAATAGTATAAAAAATTAAATAAATACAAATTTCAGTATATATACCGCCATTTGTAGATGCTATAACTTTCACGTAAACCAATCAATATACACTTATTGGGATTTTTTAGCAAAGACGTGTAGCAGAATACATTTTAGCCTAAATTTATGAAGAATTTTTTTTATTAGATATGTTTTATAGAAAAAAGTCAAAAATATTGTTTTTTTTTTTAAAACTTGTCAGTCTGTTTTTGTTTTTAGCGCAAAAAAAAAAAAAACACAGCGGTGATCAAATACCACCAAAAGAAAGCTCTATTTGTGGAAAAAATTACATATCATTTATGGATAGTGTTGCATGCCGTGCAATTGTCAGTTAATGTAACGCAGTGCCGTATTGCACAAAATCACCTGGTCAGGAAGGGGGGTAGATTTTCTGGAGCGCAAGTAGTTAACATACCACTTTCCTTCAAAAATACTATTATGGCTCAATTTCCATATACCTGGGCCGACACCTCCATTAAATATCTAGGAATCAACAACCCCAAAGCACTTCTGCTAGGATTTAGGCAATTTCCAAAAATGTGTTGAAAACCCTTACCTTTATTTCCTTGCTAGAACTGTAATCGGAGGAATACATTTGTTTTAAATACTTGTTTTGTCTAAATTCCTATGCCTCTTTTGTACTATTCCTATCTAATCTCATATTCCTTTTTTCTAAGATACGCACTTTGTTCTTACGTTTTGTTTGGAAAGGGGAAAAAAACGAGATGTGCACAGGTATTAGTGTTTTACTCTTCATATTTGGTTAATCCACATACTTTGCCCCATATCACCCTCAATATAGTGGTTGTACATTGTGTACATATCTATTTTTTTTATTTGCTATAGGCATTACTACATTATTATGGTCTATACCTCCTCCATTTGTCATCTCTTGGATCTCTGGTTGGGTCTCTCTGGGGTGGGGGGTATGGTCTCTTTCCCCTGTCCGGTTTCCCAATATTATCCCAATCCCAATATCCCATATCCCAATATTACACCTTCCTTTACTGTCTTTATTGTCATCACCCCATTCTTTGTTGGATATACAGTACATCTATAGTGTATCTGATATTGTACATTAAGTATGGGAAGGTGTATGGGGTGATTATAATTATATCATGTTCATCTAACATTTTTAAGGACTAATTGCCCTTTCATTTTATCATTAGTTTTTGGAATAAAATTTTGTTTTTAGACATATTTGTTTGATATCTTTCTGAGGGTAAAGGATTAGCACCATTAAATTCCCATTTATTCGTGTTCTTTGATAACCCTATTGTTATGAATATGAAGATTAGAGATGAGCGAATCGAACTTGGCGAAGTGGAATTCGTTTCGAATATTAGGAAAAATTCGATTCGCGTCGAATCCGAAAATTAGCAAACTTCGGATGCACGAATCGAATTTTTCCCGATCGGCGATTTTCATCCCTTCTACAGCCGGCAAAAAGTGTCCCTGCAGAGAGCTCCGCTATTTCTGACAGTTCTCTGACAGTTCCTTCACATTTACAGCGGTTGAAACATTGTATCTATTTGTTTCCATTTAGGATACAGATGTTTTTATTCAGAAACAAATAGATACAATCTTTCAACCGCTGTAAATGTGAAGGAACTGTCAGAGAACTGTCAGAAATAGCGGAGCTCTCTGCAGATACACTTTTTGCTGTACTGGAATTCTTCTTATTTTCATCCTACTTCTTCTTCTTCTTCTTCATCCTCATCCTCATCCTCTTCTTCTTCTTCTTCTTCTTCTTCATCCTCATCCTCTCTCTTCTTCTTCTTCATCCTCATCCTCTTCCTCTTCTTCTTCATCCTCATCCTCTTCTTCATCCTCATTCTCTTCTTCTTCATCCTCTTCTTCTTCATCCTCATCCTCTTCTTCTTCTTCTTCTTCTTCTTCTTCTTCATCCTCATCTCCTCCTCTTCTTTCTTCTTCTTCTTCTTCTTCTTCATCATCATCATCCTCATCCTCTTCTTCTTCTTCTTCTTTTTCTTCCTCACCATCATCCTCTTCTTCTTCATCCTCATCCTCTTCTTCATCCTCATCCTCTTCTTCTTCTTCATCATCCTCATCCTCTTCTTCTTCTTCTTCTTCATCCTCATCCTCTTCTTCTTCTTCTTCTTCTTCTTCTTCATCCTCATCTTCTTCTTCTTCTTCTTCATCCTCATCTTCTTCTTCTTCTTCATCCTCATCCTCTTCTTCTTCTTCCTCATCCTCATCTTCTTCTTCATCCTCATCATCTTCTTCTTCTTCTTCTTCATCCTCATCCTCTTCTTCTTCTTCCTCATCCTCATCTTCTTCTTCATCTTCATCTTCTTCTTCTTCATCTTCTTCTTCTTCTTCTTCTTCATCCTCATCATCTTCTTCTTCTTCATCCTCATCCTCTTCTTCCTCATCCTCATCTTCTTCTTCATCTTCTTCTTCTTCTTCTTCATCTTCTTCTTCTTCTTCTTCATCATTCTTCTTCTTCTTCTCATCTTCTTCTTCTTCTTCTTCATCTTCTTCTTCTTCTTCATCTTCTTCTTCTTCATCATCTTCTTCTTCTTCATCTTCTTCTTCATCTTCTTCTTCTTCTTCTTCATCTTCTTCTTCTTCATCTTCTTCTTCTTCTTCTTCATCTTCTTCTTCTTCATCATCTTCTTCTTCATCATCTTCTTCTTCATCATCATCTTCTTCAGCATCATCTTCTTTATCATCTTCTTCTTCATCTTCTTCTTCATCTTCTTCTTCATCTTCTTCATCTTCTTCTTCTTCTTCATCTTCTTCTTCTTCATCTTCTTCTTCATCTTCTTCTTCTTCTTCATCTTCTTCTTCATCTTCTTCGTCGTGCCCCATGACTGCCCAAATGAGTGAAGTGTGCGGTGATTCTAAGATCGACGGCACTCATCTGCATGTCATACTGACTGACAGTATTATTTCTCTTCCCCAGCAGACTCCAAGGGCATTTAAATTAAAGGTACAGTGTTCTGCACTAATATAAAGGCTCTCTGAAGCCTAGAAACCCTTTTAATAAGTTAAATTTGCAGCGAATAAATTCGCATCGATTCGAATTTATTCCGCAAATTCGGCGAATCAGCCGAATCGAATTTTTGAATAATTCGCTCATCTCTAATGAAGATGCTCTGTGTCCTGGGATGTAAGAAAAAGAAAATATTTTATTAGGGCTTTCTAAATGTATTAATATATGTGATATATTGGGGTTGATTTACTAATACTAGAGAATGCTAAATCTGGTGCAACTCTGCATAGAAACCAATCAGCTTCCATTTTTTTTGGCCAAAGCTTAATTGAACTTGCTGAAATTAGAAGCTGATTGGCTACCATGCACAGTTGCTCCAGATTTTGCACTCTCCAGTTTTAGCAAATCAACACCATTGTGTTTATTTCTCTAATTTGCATCTGTACTCACTTGCTTCACAGTTATTTTACTGAGTGTTATAGAATTGTAGATTTGATGTCAGGATGGTTTGCAGGTCAATATTTATAAAGCTTGTATTTCAGTTTTTTACATCAATAAAAAAACACGTTATGTTAAAAAGACTCATCAGTAGATAAAATATTAGTTTATACAATTAGACTTTTTATCATAGCACATGTGTTTTATTGATCTAAAAATGTAAAATGCAAATCTACATGCACTCACTGCAGCAGCAGCCAACCATTTTTATGGAGTTCCTGATGGTAATGTAGGGATTTGCTGCCTCCTACTGTTAACTGCTAATATTACAGTGTTATGTTTAATTATATATTAGCACTTCCTGTCTCTGAGAGGCTGGATGAGAAACCCCAGAAGTAACAAGTGGAGAGAGAGCAGCTAACATGTCTACATACAGGAGCTGCAGTACTGCAATACTGAATGTTATCTAGACCAGAGGAAGCGACTTTTTAACTTTCTATTTAACTATAGCAGCTGATAACCTCCTGATTTGAGTCCTAGTGACAGACAACTCTCTTTCCTATTGTTATTGTCTCACATGCACAGTGCCGGATAGCTAGGTTTGTGCTACTGTATGTATGTAGTGGGCACCTTCTGGTATATTAGTAAGCGTATATCTATCTGCAATTGGGTTTAGATGCAGCTCCTGTTATTTTAGTTATTTGCATCTCCCGTTAATTTTGTCTGTGTTTCTGTAGCTAGGGCTTGATAACCAGCATAGGCTAGAGCCAGGTTAGGCATCCAACGACCACTTCTGGCAGTTAGAAGTTTTTTTGTGTGTCACATTAGAAACTGCTAAGGAGGAACTAAAGTGCGGAGTAAACAGGCTGATTCTGAGTTTCAGTGTCACAGCACAATTTCTTCTGCTGAAAAGTTGCATTCTAGGCTGGTTGGACAACAGTTGGAGGATCTCCCCATCACCACTGATCTTGTCTTCAGGTATCTGACACAAAGATGGATGATGCATCATGATCTTTACAGTTACATAGTTAGTCTGACTGAAAAAAAAGACAAAAGTCCATCCAGTTCAACCATAAAGTTATAATCCTATACCCACAGTTGATCCAGAGGAAGGCAAAAAAAAAAAACCCAGCAAAGCATTATCAAATTTGCTCCTGCAGGGGAAAAAAATTATTTCCTGATCCCCCCCGAGAGGCAATCGGATATTCCCTGTATCAACTTTACCTATCAATGTTAGTAACCAGTTATATGTTCACTATATGATGTATTTATACATGTTGATCATATCCCCCCTAAACCACTTGCCAACTGCGCTGTAGCTAAATGACGGGTACAGCGTGGTTGTCCAGTCCTGGGTGGATGTCATATGACATCCTCTTAGAGCTTCCTATCCATGCCACCTCATCAGTGCCACCTATCAGTGCCCATCAGTGCTGTCTATCAGTGCCCATCAGTGCCACCTATTAGTGCTTATTGGTGCCTATCAGTGCTGCCTATTAGTGCTCATCAGTGCTGCCTATCAGTGCCCATCAGTGCTGCCTATCAGTGCGGCCTCATCAACGCACATCAGTGATAGAGAACAATTACCTGTTTGCTAAATTTTGTAATAGAAAGAAAGAAAAACTTTTTTTTTAAATTGTTTGCCCTTTTTTTGCTTGTAGCGGAAAAAAAATAAACACCCAGAGGGGATTAAATACCACAAAAATAAAGATCTATTTGTGTGAAAAAATTATAAAAATTTCATATGGGTACAGTGTTGCATGACTGTGCAATTGTCATTCAAAGTGCAACAGCGCCGAAAGCTGAAAATTGGCCTGGGCAGGAAGGGGGTATAAGTGCTCGGTAGGCAAGTGGTTAATCTCCTCTTCTCAAGAGAGAATACATTCAGTTCCTCTAATCTTTCCTCATAGCTGAGCTCCTCCATGCCTCTTATCAGTTTGGTTGCCCTTCTCTGTTCTTTCTCCAGTTCCCCAATACTCTTTTTGTGAATGGGTGCCCAAAATTGAACTGCATATTCCAGATGTGGTTTTACTAATGATTTGCAGGGGTAAAATTATATCTCTCTCGCTGCAGTTTATACCTCTTTTAATACAAGAGAGGATTTTGCTCACTTTAGAAACTGTAGCTTGGCATTGCATGCCATTATTAAGCTTGTGATCTACCAGAACTTCCAGATCCTTCTCCACCATTGATTCCCCCAGTTATACCCCCCTGGTATGTATGATGCATGCATATGATGTTAGCACCCAAGTGCCTAACCTTACATTTATCAACATTAAACATAATTTGCCACATAGTTGCCCAATTAACCACTAGCCTACAGGGCACTTATACCCTCTTCCTGCCCAGGCCAATTTCCAGCTTTCAGCGGTGCTGCACTTTGAATGACAATTTTGTTGTCATGCAACACTGTACCCATATGAAATTTTTATCATATTTTGTGACAGATAGAGCTTTATTTTGGTGGTATTTAATCACCTGTGGGTTTTTTATTTTTTCTTAAATAAACCAAAAACCACTGAAAATTTTGGAAAAAAAGTTTTTTCTTAGTTTGTGTTATAAAATTTTATAAATAAGTGATTTTTCTCCTTCACTGATGTTCACTAATGAGGCTGCACTGATGGGCACTGATAAGCTGCACTGATGGACACTGAAAGGTGGCACTGATGTACACTGATGAGGAGGCACTGGTAGGTGGTACTGATGGGCATTGACAGGCATCACTGATGGGCACTGAAAGGCAGCACTCATATATGGCACTGATAGGCTGCACTGATAGGTGGTACTGATAGGCGGCACTGCCTGGCACTGTTAGGTGGCACTGACTGGCACTGTTAGGCGGCACTGATAGGCAGCACTGACGGGCACTGATAGGCGGCACTGACTGGCACTGTTAGGTGGCACTGACTGGCACTGTTAGGAAACACTGATAGGCAGCACTGACGGGCACTGATAGGCAGCACAGCTGCACACTAATAGGCAGCACTGACAGGCACTGATAGTCGGCACTGACTGGCACTGATAGGTGGCACTGATTGGCAGCACTGATAGGTGGCACTGACTGGCATTGATAGGTGGCACTGACTGGCACTGATGTGTGACACTGAAAGGCAGCTCAGATGGGCACTGATATGTGGCATTAATGTGGCACTGATGGGCACTGAAATGTGGCACTGATGGGAACTTCAGAGTATGAATCATTAACCACTACTGTCTGAATACAATGGTTTAACCACTTTTCTATTCATTTACATATGGATATAGCCATGTATGGGGAACTGTGTCAAATGCTTTTGCAAAATTCAAGTATACCACATCCACTGCCACCCCTCTGTCCAAGGTTTTGCTCACCTTCTCATAAAAAGAAATGTATTGATGTATTTGACAACTCCTGTCTTTCATGAATCCATGCTGTCTGTTGCTTAAAATTTCCAGCAAGAACTCATCTAAACTTTGCAGTATCTTCCCAACTATAGAAGTTAAAATAGCAGGTCTATAATTACTTGCTAAAGATTTTGACCCCTTTTTAACTATAGGCACTACTTTGGCCTTACGTCAATCCAGTGGTACTATGCCAGTCATTAAAGAGTCCCCAAAAATGAGAAACAATGGCTTTGAAATGAAAGAGCTCAATTCTTTAAGGACCCGTGGGTG